GGGGAGGCACTTTTCCTCTGCCCGGCAGCTCTGCGGGATCCCTGTCCCTGTGGCCAGCTGCTGCAGGCAGAGGCCAGTTGGAGCCGGCCGAAGAGGAGGAGAAGGTGGATTCTAGGACCCAGGTGAGTGAGCCCCGGGGACGCTGCTGCGCTCTGGGAGCCCGGCATGTATAGAGGGGAGGAGGGGCAGAGAGGCTGCTTTTGTCTGTTCGGCAGCCTGTTGCTGGCAGGGGGGTGGAGGGGGCAGCGGGCGTGGGGAGGCACTTTTCCTCTGCCCAGCAGCTCTGCGGGACCCCAGTCGGAGCCGGCCCGAGGAGGAGGAGGATCCTAGGACCCAGGTGAGTGAGCCCGGGAATGCTGCTGCGCATGTGCAGGAGTTGCCTCACCCCGTTCGTATCTAGGGATCCGACATAAGTCGGATCCATGTAAGTCGGGGACTGCCTGTATATAGAATGCACTCTGCTCATAAGTTTCAGTCTCATAATACAAGAATAAAAGTTCTGATGCACCATCTAGCTGGTCAGCATTTTTTGAAAACGAAGCCACCAAAATACCTTAATGTAAAAAAAACAATAAAAAGTTAATATTTATACATAGGACAACTACTTCATTGGTGGAGGGGGGGTTGTGTTCTGTGACTTCTTGCTTTATATTTATTAATGGTGTGCAGGTTCCAATCCTGGATCACTCTGACAAACGCTGTCAGTCAGGCTGAGAGAACTATCACCCAACATATGACAGTCCACCCAGGTTAATTTCAAAAAGTATTTCTGAACTTTAGCTCCCATAAAGAGCTGCACTTAGCTCCCATGTCACTTTTTCTCAACCGAGCTGCACATTTTGCCTCTTGTTACACAGCGCAATGAATCTCAACAAAGAAGGTACATCATTCAAGGCAGCCTTCACTTTCTAAAGTGTAACAGAAGTAGCTGGGCTATTATACACTAAACAAATCCATTGTCTGCCCAGATCTTTAGGGACCTCTGAAGATCTTCCATCTCCACATAAGCACATCCTCTCTGAGTTAAGCTGCAATGGGAAGAGCCAATGGGATATATCATTGACAATTCTCTTTTCCCTTTAGAAAGAGAATGTGGGCAGAGAAGAATACAAAGGAATAGAAATAACAGAAAAAGGACAAACAAAATGGAATTAAGAAAAGAATGAAGTCAGCACATAAAAGAGGAAGAAAATGAAATGAAAAAAAGTAATACAAGATGACAACTTTTATGCTGGTACATTTATTTTTAATCTATTTTAGTATATCTCCATTTAATTTTTGATAAATTAAAAACCCACAAATAAAAAGAGATCTGCAAATGAGTAAAACCACCCACAAGCCTTAGCCTAACCCCTACTTGACAGCCTAAGAGGCAAGAAAAGAGTTATGAAATCACACAGAGGACAGGTTATGTTTGAAAATAATTTTCTAACAGTCACTTCACCACACAAGTGTAACTAAGGACACAGAGTTTTTCACTAACAGAATTTTTGTTACTAATGTATTTGTCTGGTGACACACAAACCAGAACAAAACCAGTCTCAGCTTCAGATTCCAGGCTGAGTTCACTTTATTGCCTTTTTCAAACCAACTTTCTTATACATGTAATTGAGAAAAATTATTCAGGAATCATTGATGCATGATAAATGTAGTATCCATGATGTCGTATTTACAAAATTATTTTTCAAAGTAAAAGTGCTTTTTAAGAGTTCCAGTGCTAGGAAATAAAAGCGTGTCTTGCTATATTAGTTAATTATTATTTTTTCTAAGTACCCATGATGGATTAGCCCTCAATTATAAAGCATCTCCAATTTTAAAAACATTTTGTTTTTAAAACAAATTTCACACCATAATAATTACAGTGGAAGAACCTTTATATTGTGTTTATGATGCACAAGAGATCGATTTTCTTCAAGAAAAAGATGGGAGGTATTCAGTTAACTGAACAATCCAACTGGTTAAGCATTCTTGGGTGCTTCTAAAATAAATTTTGATCAGAATGTTGACGATGTTCCTAGCCTCTGTTTACGAGAAGCTGGGAGTAGATAATAGGGGATGGATTACTTGATGATTACCTATTCTGTTGGCAGATAGGATCCATTTTACACTGAGAATACTGAGCAATCAACTAGACGAGATGGAAGGTACTAGCAGTTCTATTAATGAAATGTCTCATCAGGAGAGTTCAAATAAGTGTATTGACATTTGTCCTTAAACTTTAATACAATGCAAATAGTATAATTAATTAACAACTAATTTTTATTGTTTGGGCTATGTTTTATAGCATAAGTGAGTTATATTCAGGGAGGCATGTTTTCAATGACCATAGCATTCTCCTTCCCTCAAAGAATTATGCTTCAGAATTTAAGCTTTCTTTTATATATATATATATATATATATATATAGACACACACACACACACACACCAGGTACAACTACTTGTCATGGTTGCAAAGTAATTCTTGAATGTGTGACTCAATATACACCAATGTGGTGGTATTCTACTGAGTTTGCAAACAGTCTGGACTCTTAATGAAGAATTTAGATTCAGCTTGTTGCAAAGTATACAGGGTCTTGATTGTATCGATTTTTGCTTAGTCGCCAACGGCACTCAACTAAACTTTGTGAGTCTTCTATGTGTAAATTACCTTACAACAATGAAACCACAGAAGTACCCACTCCACAAGTATGACTACTTGAAATGCAGATGCTTATTACTCTTTTAAAAACCATACATTCAAACATGAACAATGACATGGTTGATGTATCAAAATCTAGTACTGTTTAGAGACATGTAAGCTCTGTCATATCTTGTACTCCACTGATAACAATATACTAACAAAAACCAGTTTACAAGTAACATACAATCAAACTCTTTTATTAAGGAATAAAATAATCACTGAAACTCAATGGAGCTTACAAAAAAGTATCTTCATTTTAATATGGTTGTGAAACAGATCTCTTAACCTAAAGTAAGTTAAGTATAACTGAGTATAGTCTTGCTTTAATACTTATTGGGCATAGTCTTCCAGTTTCAACAAGACAAATGTAAAAGGTCTTAAGCTACAAAATAAGTAATCATTTAAAACTTCATTTTATTTTACACATTTCAAATACATTTAAAAAAATATTTTTCTATTGTAATCTAATGTTAAAACGCAATATCATGTGATAGAAAGGACATATGAATGACAATTTTCATTTTTCACCTCTTTAGCGCATGATTCAAATTAATCCTGATTAATAAAGCAAAATTAGTTTTGATAGCTTATTTCAATTAACAATAAGTGTTAGACAGTTTGACAGACCAGCACAACAAGGGCCATTTCACATTACAAAATATTCACAACTTTAACCGAACATATTCGTCATGATTTTGCATATAATGTTACTACACAAAAGACCTCTATGCCACTTTTTGGACCAGCCTAAGGTATAACACTAGAATCTGAATTATCTACCTACAGGAAACTGCATGTGCTATCTTTCAGCTATATCCTACAGAAATTTATGGTGAATGTACTAAACATTTTTTATAATACATACATAGTAGTTTAAGGATCTGGACTTTAAAAACAACTAATATTCTGTCCACATGCTAACTAACAGATCTCGAATTCTCTCTTACTTTGTTTAGGTAAGCAGATATTTATCTTACACAGTTTATAGCTTTCTCATAAAGTTCATAACAATTTTATCATCAGATAGGTATTCAAAAATACATATGCATACATACATAAAGAGTAATACAGTAAAATAAAATCTGAAAATCCAGCATTATGCTAAAGATATAGTGTACCTTCTTCAATGGGTTCATACTTTGCAATGAGTTGAGAGGCACGTGTTTCATCAGCATCCATTTCACACTGTTCTTTTCTGAGAAATTCAATCAGGTTTGCTGCTTCTAGAATTTTGCGGTTTGGAGAGTAACAGCAGAAAATTTCATGGACGTCAGTTCTGTGTGCAACAGTTCGATAAATTGTCCTGAATTCTTCTACAGAAATAGTTCCACGCTTCCCCTCTCTAGCTGTTTTCTGAAAACAAAAATGATTTGTGTACAAATTTACATTAAAATCACTGCATTACAATGTAAAAAAGTAGAGTCCTTATATCAGTAAAACATTGAGCCATAATGTTTCTCCAGTGCATGGACATGATCCAATACTATTCTATTCTACCAGATAGCAAATCTTAGAATCTTGGTCTGTCCTCTTAAAAATGTCTGTTATTTTGCATAATTAAGTGTAAATTGTATTGCAGAACACTTGTTGTATATTGCCAATTGCAAAATATTTGTGCATATTGTATGTATTAGATTAGCATGTATGAATTTTAAAAAGTACTGAAATCAATCTCTCTCTCTCTCTCTCTCTCTCTCTCTCTCTCTCTCTGTATATATATAAACAATTTCCTGTGGGTCGTCACCAGCGTCGCCCTGCCCCCAGCCCATTTTCACTCCAGGAAGCTCCTCTACCCCCCGTCCAGTGATCCAGGGAGGCAGGACATGCACAGCCTCCTCCCATCTCCAGAGCTCTGGAGAGGCAGGAGGGGGTTGGTGACCATAGCGGGCAGGAGGCCCAGTCCCCTGGTGTATTTTATTTAATAAAACTGTACTACAAAGAAAAGTTATTGTGAAAAGTAAATACATTCTTACACATCAACAGTTACTATTTTAAATAATTTGTAAATACCATAAAGCTCTATTTTAAAATTAGCCAGTTAGCCTGACATAAGAAGGGATTTCCTCCACATTGGTCTTCTCTTCTCCACATCGGTTTTCTCTCCTGAGCCTCCGGTCTCTCGCTCTGTGTCTCTCTCTCTCCTCCTCCTACTGCCTCCCCCCCTCTCTCTCTCTCAGCTCTCCTCCCCCTCCTGCCTCTCACTCGGGGAACCACGGAGTCTCAACGGTCACTTGCGCCACTTGCTCCCACGCGGTGGCCCGGTTGAGCGGCGCAGATGTCAGCCAAACGCCACTGTGGGAGGCGAAGGACATGACTCAAGCAACAGCGACACCCAGAGGGAACAGCCAGGGAGGCAACAGCGCAGCCCAGAGGGAACAGCCAGCATTTCAGCATTACAGAGTCACAGACATTGGGCTACTATATATATGATTAGGAGGAGTACACATTCCTCAAATAAGTGACAAAGAATGGCCAAACCATCATATGATCAAAGTCTTGTGGCATATCACATCTAAAATGTTTTTTCAAGTTAAAATATATGACTTTGCTGAACTTTTAAGAGACTAAGATCAGTTAAGATCTGACCAACTATTCATACAATTAGAATTTCTAAAATATACATTTGTTCTTTTAAATTGAGCTTTTTAAAGGTTAGAATATAGATTAATTTCCATGGCTGATTATCAAAAGCCACTAGAAAATAAGAAGGGTGGAAAAAAAGAGGTAGAAATTAAAACTTGAATGAGGGGAACTCTAAATAATTCTGACAAACATTTTTTAAAAGACTCACCAAAATAATTTTTCTTTTAAGGTTTTTTTTAATATATGTAATTCAGTTTTCTTGGTGTAGATTTTTTTCCCTTTAACTTTTTAAATATATTATTCATAAAAAGTGCCATAATGTACCTAATGAGTCAACAACCTGTTTATTTGCAAAACAAACACGGCACAGGAAATTTAAATAAAAACTTATTTGCACTGACCTCCATCAACCTGCTTCAGCTCTCATCTACAAAGAGCACCACAGTAATTGTAATACATTTAGTATTATTCAGGTTTTAAGCCCTGAGATTACTATGGGGAATAGTAATTAGTGCCTAATATCATATCAGGTGTGATGGTTAGTGCCTAGTAAAAACTGGCCGGACAAGGAAAATACTCTATCATCTGATAAAGATTTTTGTTCACAATCTATCTGGGATAGATTTGAAACAATGTCTTAACAATGAAAGCTTCAATATTACATTGCCAGTTTCCTCTTGAGTAATCTAGTCATTAGTGAAATAGATTTCTAAAAGTGTTGAACTGTCATAAAACTAAAAATGATATTAAGTAACCCAAATCAATGTATCAGGAAAGTATTTGGGTGGCTTGTAACAATAATCAATTATTTTCCTTCCAAGCTTGTATCTAATTGCTGAATGTTTGAATTATGACTGTTCAAGAGAAATTCAATATCAGATTTACTAAAATTAAATAATGAACAAAACGTCCTACAAGAAACTATTAATATTTAGTACTGATTGAGACATCTCAACCCTGAGGTCCAGACCTTCAAAACCTGAACCCAAATCTTTTGTAAAATTTCATTAAAAAATCTACAAACTTATTCTTATCAGTAAGTCTACACTAAATAAAATTACATTGTAGAACTATCTAGTGAATAAAGGCACTGAGTTTTAAGTCTAATAGAACTTAAACAATCTGGATTCAGTTCCTGGCTTTGCCACTGACTTCTTATGTTACTATGGGCAAGTAAATAAATTCTCTTTGCCTCAGCTCCCCATCTATGAAATGGGAAAAACAGACTTCCTAGCTCCACTGAAGCATGTGAAAATTACACTACAGGCAGTCCCCGGGTTACGTACAAGATAGGGACTGTAGGTTTGTTCTTAAGTTGAATCTGTATGTAAGTCGGAACTGGCGTCCAGATTCAGCCGCTGCTGAAACTGATCAGTTTCAACAGTGGCTGAATCTGGACG